ATGCCCAGGGCTGGTCCAAGCCCTGAGCCTGAGCAGAGCTCGTGATCAAAGCCTGCCAGATGCCTGCTGGGTGGCTTTGATCTCCCTGACACACTGCTGAAGAGTATCTGGGTTAAATGCAGGGGTCAGCGCAGCTCTTCGTATCTACTGGCCCCTGGTGCCAGCCTGATAGCAAAACCCAGCGTGGGAGATGCCGAGGGCATCCTGTGCACACAGCCACTGTCCCCAACACGGAGGCACATTAGTGGGTTGCATTGGGACACCTGAGAGTGACAGGGCTGGCAGGACCCACCCGGGCTAACCCTGAGCGTAGCTGCAGCATCCCGTCCCCTCCAGGCTGTGGGGCACCCCCTGAGCCCCCCACCTCCTCTGCAGGGGCACGGGCTACCTGCCAGCATGCATGGTTACCAGACAAGGCTAAAGGACCCCTCCTTCTCCCCCATCGCTATTTAGCACCTTCCCTCTGTGCACCCCCAATTAGCCCCCTGCATCCTCACAGCCCCCTTCAGCCCTGGAAACACATCGAGATTCATGTCACGTGGATGTCACCTGCAGCATCTCTGAGCAGGGTTCAGCCAAACGCTTTCTTAAAGGATACTGCGATGCACTTATTTTTACAAAGTGTATTTCCTGGAGGGTCATGGGCTGTAGGGCACGTGCCAGGATTTACCTCTAGAGCCCATGAGCTGGAATGCTCCTTGCCTGAATTGCAGCCTTGCCCTCTCGCTGCTCTGAGGGTTGCAGGGGACAGTCATGAGCATCCTCCAAATGGGTTTGTCTGGGTGAGTTGGAGGTCAGCAGTTTGGGGTGACTTCACTCCTCCCTGCAGGGCGTTAACTCTGGAACTTAATGATCACACTGGACAATGCTGAATGTCCTCTTGAGGTGGTGATCCAGCTGTCCCAATTGTCTCAGGGCAGCAGAGCCCAGTGTCTTGCTGGGGGGTGAGGACTGGTTTGGGGAAGAGGGCGCTGGGTTCCTGCGGCTTTGCTCAGCACCAGCTGATGTTCGTTTCCTGCTGCTTTGAAGCAAAACTCAAGTGAACAGTGAGATGCACGGAGGTCAGCAGCACTGCTCTGCTGCTCGACTGCACCAAGCCTAGGTGGGTTTGGGTTGTCACTGGCTTGTGCAGTTGCTGTAAGGATCTGGACTTTTACACTTCCAGAGTGAATTTAGGGTCCCAGCTCTGTCCCCACAGTTTGGCATGGTGGGCAGCGGGCTCTCCCACTCCTCGGGCACATATTTTTCCAGGAAACCTCCTCTCTCACATCTGCCTTTCTTCTTTTGCAGAGAAAATCACTGATCGCCTTGGAAAAAGAAGACGAGGAGGAGAGAAATAAAACAATTGAAAGTTTGAAGACTGCACTGCGGACGAAACCAATGAGGTAATTCCCTTCTGTTTCCTGGCTTCGTCACTGTGGTCGTGGCTTTGGATTTGAGTTCTCTGGCAGCATGGGGAGTTAAATAGAAATATAAATGGGGGCTGCACAGGACAAGAGGCAAGGGCCCTGAAACACCACTTGCTTTTTTTCAATTCACTTCTTGGCATTTTTTTCCTTTTCCTTGGTCCTTTTAATGGCCAAGAGCCACCAGGGCCCCACATCTGTTCAGGCAAATCAGGCGACTTCTTTTTTTAAAAAATTTGCTTTTGTTCACACTGGAACAAAATGTAAAAATTCCTTCCAGATTGAATTAAAAAAAAAAAATCAAATTTTTGTTGGTCAACCAGGCCCTTTGTTTCAAGTTCAATTTTTCCTGCACTTTTTAAAGGAATAAAATCATATGAATTTTCAGGCTTTTATGAAATGCAAAAAAAAAAAAAGTATTGCTAGGAGGTTTTGATGGGGAGGATAAAGAAAGGGTGGGACTCTTAATGAATGTCTGTAGTTTTTCCTAAATTCGGTTTCTCTGGAGTCTGCGTGCACACATCTGCAAAACCTTTAAGATGCCTCAGGTCAACATTTTCTGATGGGAAAATGTTTCATTAAGAAACGCATGACCTGTTCTGCTTAGGAAAGAAATAAAATTGCTGTTGCTTGCAAATACATTCCCCTCTTCCATTTCTCTTTTGCAATGGTTCTGGTGATGGTACTCGGTAAGAAGTTCCCAGGGTCGAGGGTGAGCACCTGATTTCTGTGCAACCCAGACCTCCTGGGTGCTGGCTCTTCACAGTGTCTTGGGAGCAGGGCTGGTACCCAGCCATGAAACTTTCTGAAGTTATTAGAAGTGCTTTGTGAGTCTGTCTGAGTGGAAGTCAGAGGGTTGCAGCAGGCTCTCTAGATAATTTTACCTGTTGGACCTGCTTTTGCTCCCAGGGAAGTGAACATGAAATTTCCTATTGACTTTGGCTGGAAGAAGAGCAGGCTTTGAAGCAGAGAAATCAGTTTTCCCCCAGCCTGCAATTACCCCTTTTGTTGCTGCACATCAGCATGGCTTGTTTCAAATTAAAATCATCCCAGTGCTGGGATGTTCTTGGCTCATTTGCTTTCCGAGTCCGTGCCTTTTGCCAAACCAGAATACACCCAGCCTGGATGGCATCGGGCAGGGAGGTCCTAAAATGCTGGAGCAGCACGCAGTGCTGTGTCTGCCTGCTCTAGTGAATCTGCCTGGGGCACTGCCATGCGTTTGCTGTCTGCTTTCTATTTAGCGGCGTTATAAGTCATCATAAAAATCAGAAATCCCTTAAAATTGGTGAGATGTGTGCAAGGAAGGAGAAGGATGTGGATGGTGAGGCAGGAGAGGCAGCAGGAGGCAGAAAGTCCAACAGGCGTCACAGACGTGGGCTAGGCTGACGTTGGGGTGTCTGTAGCTGATGAGAAGGCAACGCCAGGGCTTGGGAGCTTCTCCAGGTCCTGTGCAAAACTGGTCCCACATGAGTGGGATTTAAGACTGGGGTTGGGGACTGGGAAGGTTTTGCAGCAGGGTGGCAGCAGACTCCTGACCTCCACCCTGGGGCTTGTGCCGATGGATGCGTTAGCTGGTCTCTTCCAAACATCCTACCCTGGACAACCTTGTGCAGGTGCTGCCTGGTTGCCTATGCTACTGGACACTGATTAAATTGATTTTTGTAACCCTGGCTCTGGGCTGTAGGAGTCCTGCAGGCTTTCTGCTATCCAAAGTCCAGGAAAAATTATATAAGGATGTCTTGGGTTTACAACGACCTGTTTGAGGGTAAAAGGGTCCTTTAGCATTTGGTTTTAAAGCTAAAAAACTCTCTTTTTGACAGGTTTGTAACCCGGTTCATCGACCTGGATGGCTTGTCGTGTATTCTGAACTTTCTGAAAAGCATGGACTATGAGACGGCAGAGTCTCGAATACATACCTCGCTCATTGGATGTATAAAAGCACTAATGAACAACTCCCTGGGCCGGGCTCACGTCCTGGCCCATTCAGAGAGTATTAACGTAATCGCTCAGAGTCTGAGCACAGAAAATATTAAGACGAAGGTGGCAGTGCTGGAAATCATGGGCGCTGTGTGCCTGGTTCCTGGGGGCCACAAAAAGGTACTGGAGGCGATGCTGCACTACCAGAAATATGCCAGCGAACGGACCCGTTTTCAGGTACGTGGGTCTCGACTCACCCCTCAGCTCCTGAAGTTCAGCATTCCTGTTCTTTCCTCCTCATGGATATCTAAATGCTGCTTGCAAATGATTTATGATGGCCATTTGTGACTTAGATACTCTGAGGATTACCCCAGAACCATGTCTGATGAGATCTGCAGCTGAGCAAAGAATGAGAAACCAGTTATTTAAGGCAGCACCTCCCCCCCGCCCAAAAAAAATAAAAGCTTGCTTGTGCAGGGTTGCTGGGGTTGCAGCACATCAGGATGGGCTGATGTTAGCCGAAACGGGTGCTGGGGTGGGCTGCATTGGTCCATCACCATGGGGTTGGTACAGGGGCTGTAGGAGCATCACGGAGGAGTCGTCCCTGCACACATCCTCTGGCCAGGGCTGTCACCGGGCTTTTAACTGACATTGTGTGTTTGGCAGACGCTGATCAATGACTTGGACAAGAGCACGGGGCGGTATCGGGATGAAGTGAGCCTCAAGACAGCCATCATGTCCTTCATCAACGCGGTCCTGAGCCAGGGAGCAGGCGTGGTGAGCGCCGGGGCTCTTGGAGAGGGAGGTGGGTTGGTGGGTTTAGGAGGGTTTTATTTCTGAAGACATGTACCTTGCTTGATCCCATAACTGTCCCCTCACAGGAAAGCTTGGATTTCAGACTCCATCTGCGATATGAATTTCTCATGCTCGGGATTCAGCCAGTCATCGATAAACTAAGAGAGCACGAGAATTCAACCCTCGACCGGTGAGTCATGACCCCAGCCTGCTGGTTGGTTTTGCCCTTGCCTTGCACCCTTGATTTTTGCTTTCTGGACTTGGCCTTTGGGGAAAGCACGTGGGTCTAGACTGTCGATCTGGCCCCTCTTGAGGAAATAGAGGAAAAAGCCCGGCGCCGTTTCACTGCGCCCTAATGTAGGGTTGAGCTGGGAAGGATGTGGCATTGCAGGGCTGGGGGATGCTGCCAGCCCTTCTCCTCCTCTTCTCCTTTCCTTGGAAAGGCTGTAGTGATTGGGAACTCGACACTGAAGATCCAGTGGATGTTTCAAGTCCTGCTCGTCTCTGGGCTGCCGCTGGCTCGTGGGCTGCTCTGGAAGCTCTGCCAGACTGGCTGCCTGCAATTTATTAATTGTCACATTCCTATCTAATTTTAACAGTCTTTTTTCCCCCCTGCTTTCTTTCCTCAGGCACTTAGATTTTTTCGAAATGCTTAGAAATGAAGACGAACTGGAATTTGCCAAAAGATTTGAGCTGGTGAGTACAAACGTCTGCTGATGCTGACACTGACACTCAATGTCACCAGTTTCTTTTAAAAGCACCTACGTGGCCTGGGATGAACTGTGGTTTTTTGGATCAAATTTGGAGGTTGGAAATCTGTCTCCTGTGCCCCTCCATCCTACAGGCTGCTTCATCCCTGGCTGCCGACCAGAACCCTTTGCCCCTTGCAGGGCAGTGGGGCTTGTCTCTCCATCAGGCATGGGGTGGGCACGGCTCGTGGGGTTTGGAGCTGAGATTTGGGAAACAGGCAGTGCCGTCGCTGGTCCGATGGCCTGACCTCGCTTCGCTCCCATCCACAGGTCCACATTGACACCAAAAGTGCGACTCAGATGTTCGAGCTGACGAGGAAGAGGCTGACGCACACCGAGGCGTACCCGCACTTTATGTCCATCCTGCACCACTGTCTCCAAATGCCTTGTGAGTCACGGGGGAGGCGAGGAAACCCATGGATGCCCACATCTCCCTGCTGCACCCCTCAGCCTCTCCCGTTCTTCCCCTCCAGATAAAAGAAGCGGCAACACTGTCCAGTACTGGCTGCTGCTCGACAGGATCGTGCAGCAGATTGTCATCCAGAGTGACAAAGGGCAGGACCCTGACGCCACTCCCCTGGAAAACTTCAATATTAAAAACGTCGTCCGGATGTAAGTGCTCACCCCCCTTTTCTGGGGCTTTCTGCTGAGCGGCGCTGGGGCCACCACGGCTTCGCTGCTGCCCACTCTGGTGGGTGAGAGAGCCAGGGCTGGGGTTATCCCTGCCAGGCCGGCACCGCCTCGACCTCTGGAGCATGATGCGCAGGGGTATTAAGGTCGAGCTCTGTGTCCTTGGTGAGCCATTTCCCCTGACTGCTGCTGTCACTGTTCCTTATTCATGACTTACTGTCACCTGGGGATGTTTCTGCTCCTCAGTTGGACGATCCAGTGTCCCTGAAGCCGTCGAGATGGTGCTGCACCCCAGCCTGCAAAACGGAGCAGAGGTGTTGGAAATACCAGTTTAGGAGCCTTAAATCCCACAGTGCAGGCTTATTCAGTTGTGTTTCTTGCTAGTGATCACCACTGGTTTACCATGGTAGGATTGTCTCATTGCACTACTTGTCTTTTCCTTGTAGGTTAGTCAATGAAAATGAAGTGAAACAGTGGAAAGAGCAAGCAGAAAAAATGCGAAAAGGTGAGTGATGGAGAGAGACGCAGCATTAACTTTAACCTTAGCGTGCACAGCAAACTAAACAGATAATGTATACGAGTATTTAGCTGGATGGACCCTGCAGGCGTTATTGAGTGGCTGAGATAAGATCACGCTATGGGGTGAAGCACAGTGTTTAAAATAGTCATTTTTTCATGGAAAAGCCCTGGCCAAGGCACTAAGGCACAGCACACGGTCCCCTTTCGTAACTGCGCAGCTTCTCCGCAGGGCAGCACGGGGGTTAGTCCCCCACACGCTGCCTTGTGCCAGAAGGGAGCGTTTGTCACCCAAAAGTGGTCTCATGGGGCTGTTTCAGAGCATACCGAGCTTCAGCAGAAGCTGGAGAAGAAGGAGCGGGAGTGTGACGCCAAGGCCCAGGAGAAGGAAGAAATGATGCAGACGCTGAACAAGATGAAGGAGAAACTGGAGAAGGAGTCCAGTGAGCACAAGCAGGTCAAGCAGCAGGTGGCGGATCTCACGGCACAGCTCCATGAGATGAGCAGGGTGAGGTCCCCAACCTCCTCCCCAGTCCCAAACCCCCTGCAGACACCGTGGGGTGGTTTCTGGAGGGTGAGCTGCACACGGGGCTGAAAAAGGTGCTTGCTGGGAGGGTCACCAAAGATGTCTGTCCCTGGTGAGGGAGTGGTTCCATCTCTGGCTGCATCAGACCTCAGTCAGTAGTGCTTAAGCCTTTTAGTGCTTCCTATGCTGGTTAAATTTTGGCAAAAAAAATTTAAAAATCAGCATGGGGGCACTTATTGCATGGTATATCCTGTCTCTGTATGACCAATCTCCCCTCCTCTTTCTCTCCCAGAGAGCGATCTGTGCTGCCGTCCCTGGAGGACCTCCCTTGCCACCAGGAGCTCCTGGTGGCCCTTTCCCCTCTCCAGCTTCTGGATCCC